TTGGCTAGCCATAAAGCCAGGTTCAACCCACTATTTTTTCTTAAAATGTCCTGTACCAAGTCAGGAATATGGTAGTTGTTATCAAATATACCCTTTCTATGTATGTTGGGGTTTGTTTTTGTAGCAGTTTACTGTTTTTGTTGTTCCGTTGTTTCCTTTTAAAGTTAATGTGTTTCCCTCGGTTTTGGTTTGTGACCCGGATTTGTTTTCGCTTAATCGATTATGACTATTGAACAGCAGTATACTACTATTGTTTTTATTTACCATGGTAACCAATCCTAAATACAAGATTCTTATTTTAACATGAATGTAAGTCTGCCAAATTTCATTCTTTCTTTCTATATTCTTTTGTAGTTTTTCTTCTTCTTAATTCAAGAATTACAAATTTTCAGAATTTATTTCATGAAATTGCATTTTTTGACAGACCTGTTTCCATAGCAGCATAATTTTTTGTCATTTTGTTGTATTTCTCTAATATAATATAGATAAGAAGAAAATTAAGTCGAAATAAAGAGTCTGTTTTAACTTTCAAATACATTTAACTTGAAAAAAATCAGAGAAAAATTTGAAATTATCAATTTTTGTTTCCATGGTTACCACCCTTGGCAACAAATCCCCAAAGAATTGTATTGCGTATATTGAAACAATGATATGGTTTCTTGATGGTAAGTATTATGTTCTATTCCAATATGGATGCAAAAGTTTGATTTACTTCCTCAGAAATTCTGTAAATTGTGTATTTCTAATAGCTGTTGGTCTCTACCATGATTCCAGTGGTTAGGTAAGGATAACGTGGAATTTAACTTGACTTCAAAGTCTGTCGTTGTGTGCAGTTGTAATGATATTTACATATATCGTTGGTATTTAAACCAAGATAGCGCCATTTTAAAGGATAAAGATGTCTGAAGTTCAACTGTTTCATAGTGAAAAAGGAGCATTTTTTAGGAAAAAATAAAATAATCGATTGCCATGGCAACCGTTGTCCTTAGCAACCATATGATTATTATTTTTCTATTTATTTTTCAAAGTGTGATAACTGACAAAGTTTGAAGCCTTTCTGAGACTAGGCGTGCCAAGCCCTATATCTGACATGGTCGATATTTACAGAGAATCCATGTAAATTGTCGATATGCGCATCTGGTGCATTACAATTTGTACCGTTAATGTTATTTTTATACATCAATCTAATAAAATTTTGTTGAAATTGGTCCAGTGGTATCAAAGATAAAGATGAAAACGTTAAAGCTTTACGAACGGACAAGACGACGTTTCCACAGAGATGGCAATTCCTCGTATGACCTTTCATGAAAAGCAATATATATATATGGCAAGTGCAATAAGTGATGGAGAATCAATTAACGTACTATGTGTATGGTTGTATCAAAATAATTATTCTATTGATTTATAATTTTTTGTTAAAAATGTAGGATGCAGCTATAAATAATAGCAATAAGGTCTATGGAAAATTATCTAAGGTACATCATACAACAATACATAGAAAATGTAAAAACATGTATCACTTGCAACAAATATCATGTATATGGATAAATGGCAATAAATAAAAAGATTTTAAAACTGTAAAACACACTTTGTTGTGTTTTGTGTGCAGTTGTATGACTTTTGGTTTTTTTTTAGCCATGGCGTTGTCATTTTATTTTCTACTTATGAGTTTGAATGTCCCTTTGGTATCTTTCGCCTACTTAGTATCTTGTTTGACCAGGTGGTATATGGCTTAAGATGACTCAAATGCGAAATGTTCAAATATTTTTATAAATATATTCAAAGCAGGCAATGAAAGATCTGAAATATACAGATAATGACAATGACAAATAATTATAACTTTACAAATAAATGCATATAAATATATCATTGTGTAGCAAATAATGTATACTATGTTTAATTACACAATTGCAAATGAATGATAAATGCAAAATACAGTTAAATAAACTCTAAATGTAAACAATTTGTTAATCAATGCAAATGAAATTTGTTCACTAATGTAAGTTGACTATACGACTAGTATATGTAAGAGAATGATAATCCCTTTCTTCATGATTAAGTACGAGCGCTAGCAAGTACTTATCATTTAGAATATAGCAAGGTTCTCTCGACCAATGAAATTGTAGGATTTGGTGTCTCTTAATTGCGAAGAATGAATGTAAAGCATGTTCTTAAAAAGGATTTATCCTATTATTTAGGTCTGTTTACAATTCAAAACAAAGAGTTACTTTAAATGAGTTACAACTGCCCCGAAGCACATTTATCAGATTGAAAAGATTTATCACACAGTGATTGAAACTGACTAAAAGTTGAATTGTGAAACAAACAAAAAATTAAAATAAGTTGAAGTTTACTGGTGCAGTAAAATTGGTACCTTTAGTGTTATTATGAAAATATTAATAACTTCAAACTACTAAAAAATTGAGAAATATTAAAGCAATGCAAAAAAAGAAAAAAAAAATTTAAACAAAAATAACCTAAATCTGTTTTCCCAAATTCAAATTACTGGACCAGCGATGGGAAAAATAGTTATTTCCAATATTCCGATAAAATAAAAAAAAAAAAAAAAAAAACAAACGGGAATTTAATTTAAGTTTTGAATATATTTAAAACTTTTAAAGGCATTTTATTTGAACATTCCCCTGACAGAATGAAATAGTATTTGATTTAAAAAGCCAGACCAAAATATTGGATGTGAAATAAAATTAGTTGTAACTCAAATGTATTTATTGATTTAAACTGTAAATAAAAAAAGGATAATTCCTCACTGAAATATTACATGATTTACAGTCATACTTCCAATCAGGAAACATATACAATTCCTACCTTGTCTTTGTATTGTTGTGTCACCTAATGTCTAAAACGCATTTAAAAAAAAGTATTTCCCAATAATAAGAAAGTCCTTACATCACTAAAACTAATCCATAAATGAAATGCCGAAAAATGAAGTCATGCATCAATTGTAAACATTGCAATGACAATGAAACTAATTCTTAAATACAACCAATCAAGAGATCGTTTGAGCCTTGAGCACTTTACAATATTCTAAGTTTATAAGAGAATGATAATCCCTTACTTCATGCTAAGTACTCGCTAACGCTCGTACTTCATCACGAAGAAAGGGATTATCATTCTCTTACATATACGAAGTAAAGGATTATCATTCTCTTACAAACTTAGAATATTGTAAAGTGCTCAAGGCTCAAATGAACTCTTGATTGGTTGTATTCAAGAATTAGTTTCGTTGTCTATGCAATATTTATAATTGATGCATGACTGCCTTTTTCGGCATTTCATTTATGGATTAGTTTTAGTGATGTAAAGAGTTTCTTATAATTTAGGAAATATTTTTAAAAAAATGCGTTATATATAGACAATAGGTGACACAACAGTACAAGGAAAAGGTAGGAATTGTATATGTTTCCTGATTGTGAGTATAAATGTAAGTCATGTAATATTTTAGTGAGGAATTATCCTTTATTTATCTTACGTTTTAATAAAAAAAAATCATTTGAGTTACAACTAATTTATTTCATAGCCAAATTTTATTCCGGCTTTTTAAATCAAATACTATTTCATTATGTCAGGGAAATGTTCAAATAAAATGTCTTTAAAAGTTTTAAATATATTCAAAACGTAAATTAAATTCCTGGGGTTTTTTTGTTTCATTTTATCAGAATATTGGAAATAACTATTTTTTCCTACCGCTGGTCCAGTAATCAGAGTTTTGGAAAGCTAAAGATTTAGGTTATTTTCTATCTTAAAACATTTTTTCTTTTTTTGCATTGCTTTGATATTGTTTAATTTTTCAGTAATTTGAAGTTATGAATATTTTCATAATAACATTAAAGGTACCAATTTTACAGCACCAGTAAATTTCAACTATTTTAATTCTTTTGATTTTTTTGTTTATTTCACAATTCAAATTTTAGTCAGTTTCAATCACGGTGTGATAATCCTTTCAATCTGATAACTTTGCTTCGGGGCAGTTGTAACTCGTTTATAGAAACGCTTTGTTTTGAACAGTAAATAGGCCTGAACAATAGGATAATTCCTTACTAAGAACATGAATTACATTCATTCTTCGCAATTAAGAGACATCAAATCCTACAATTTCATTGGTCCAGAGCACTTTGCTATATTCTAAAATGAAATACTGTACAACACTGAAAGTTAATTACAGGTAAATAAGAAAATATAAAGTATAAAATACAAATAGCAAAGTAACTGAAACTAAATGAAATATTTAAGACGAAAAGTTTTAACCATAGATTAATTTGAAAAACCTTGAAATGATAAATACCTTATACTGCTGGCTACGGCTTATAATGTTGCTTCTGGTCGAACTTATTCCGCATTGACAATATAGATAAAAATCACAGTATGTATAGTCAGAATACAAGGTCAAATTAGCCAGTACCAGATAAAACAACTATTCAGAAAAGTAGTTTATACAATAGCCTTTAGTGAGTACAAATCAAAGAGCCTACATGGAGTATTTGGATTCACTGAACCATATAATACAAAATGTGTTCAGTATAGTTAGATTATTATAATATAGGGTAAAATAGATATAAATGAAGTACAAAGTTGGGAATATCATCAAATAGGTAAATTGTACATAAATCAACTTGTCCACACGTGTAATGATGTTCTTTCCTGGAATTGCGACGTGTTTGTAAATGCTAAATAGATACATGTATGTGTGCTTGTTTTCTAAAGATATCATCTTGAATATTTGATGAAGTGAATGATAAACTGTATGATAGATATATAAAAGAAATATTAAAATTTGAAACCGCATCGGACGCACAAAATTTATAAAGTGATATTTTCATTTCATATTTTACCTAATATTTATTTAAATTTTTTGGTTTTTCTTATATATTGTGAAATATAAGGGTCGTTGGGAATTTTTAAAGGAGTGACAAAATAGTATCAAATATTTTAAAATTAGAGCAGCAACCAACCTTAAGATTACAGCACATGACTTATATTAAAGCAAATGTTAATATATTTCGTCTTCAGGTCTTTCAACTCATTTCCCTTAAGAAATATTAAATGATATATCATACACAAACTATTTTCATTTTAAAACAAATGTGCTGTTATTTAGTTCCTTTTTATTATCATTTTTGTAGATTTGAGAGAATAGTATCTTCCATGCCATGACCACCAAATAATCCCATTATTGTTGTTATTTGTCTTTCCTCCTAGATATAACCCGTTCAGATTTGAACGCAAACATCTTTTATACCACCACCCACCATCTCCCAATTTAGCACAGTTACCTTCCCATTGGTCATTATCTTTGTCAAAGGTACTGAACTCCATGCCATTATGATACTTTGAAAAACTGTCGTCTACAAAAGATATAACGTAATTTATTTGTTGTTTCAGCAAAAATAATTAAGAAACTGACACGCTAAATCTATGTGATTAACAAAAGTTTTCTAACCTGCACATTTTCCATATGCTTCCTATTCCTTATCGTGATATTTTCACGGAGTCTGGATTCTCAAAGCGGTTCATGCATGCATAGCAGAGGAAATTACACCCCGAGTCTGGATTCTCAAAGCAGAAGAAATTACACACGGAGTCTGGATTCTCAAGGCGGTTCATGCATGCATAGCAGAAGAAATAACACTCCGAGTCTGGATTCTCAAGGCGGTTCATGCATGCATAGCAGAAGAAATTACACTCCGAGTCTGGATTCTCAAGGCGGTTCATGCATGCATAGCAGAAGAAATTACACACGGAGTCTGGATTCTCAAGGCGGTTCATGCATGCATAGCAGAAGAAATTACACATCGAGTCTGGATTCTCAAAGCGGTTCATGCATGCATAGCAGAAGAAATTACACACCGAGTCTGGATTCTCAAGGCGGTTCATGCATGCATAGCAGAAGAAATTACACACGGAGTCTTGATTCTCAAGGCGGTTCATGCATGCATAGCAGAAGAAATTACACTCCGAGTTTGGATTCTCAAAGCGGTTCATGCATGCATAGCAGAAGAAATTACACTCCGAGTCTGGATTCTCAAGGCGGTTCATGCATGCATAGCAGAAAAAATTACACACCGAGTTTGGATTCTCAAAGCGGTTCATGCATGCATAGCAGAAGAAATTACACTCCGAGTCTGGATTCTCAAGGCGGTTCATGCATGCATAGCAGAAGAAATTACACTCCGAGTCTGGATTCTCAAAGCGGTTCATGCATGCATAGCAGAAGAAATTACACTCCGAGTCTGGATTCTCAAAGCGGTTCATGCATGCATAGCAGAAGAAATTACACTCCGAGTCTAGATTCTCAAAGCGGTTCATGCATGCATAGCAGAAGAAATTACACACCGAGTCTGGATTCTCATAGCAGAACAATTTACACACCGAGTCTGGATTCTCAAGCAGAAAAATTTACACCGAGTCTGGATTCTCAAGCAGAAAAATTTACACACCGAGTCTGGATTCTCAAGGCGGTTCATGCAAGCATAGCAGTTATATAACCTTATAGGTTGCATTTCTGTAAATATTGACAATGCAATTTCCCATAGGAACTCCTTTTACGGCTAAAACTGTTCCACTTTTACTATGAAGTTTCGAAAAAAATCATATCCTTGAATGGAAAGTTCATATGCACTACAATTTTCTTCAAAGGTCAAAATATAGGGCTGTGCGGCATATTTTCAACGTTTATATGCCCCGAACTTCTAAGAGTTTAAACTAACACTAAATTTCTTAACTATCCCTACCTTGACTGTAGGATTACCACATATTTCTATATAGACAATATGCATATGTATATTTACTGGTAACATTCCAAAGTTATGTCTATGTGAGATGAAACATAGAGATCATAACTGGGAACCAGTATGTAAACAAAATTAATTATCTATGAATATTCTATATCTCCCCAAAAGAGGCGTGGTTTGAGAAACAGCTGTATTTACAAAGTGCAACCTATAGTAATGAGAACTTTAACACAAGTATTTGCATTAAGACAATTAATGTAATAATGATAGGACGCCATTGAGTATTATAAGAAATAACATATATTAATAAGATTTTTCATATTAGATATTTATGTATAAGACACAATAAAATCATTTTTTGGTTTTTTTAAGATTTCAAGGAAAAGGTTTTCCCACAGTGTAGATTTAAAAGATAACTATGTGATATTAGTGTATGTTATGCTCAAAATTATCAATTTAAGAATTATCATTAAGAATTTTATCAGAAAAAGCTGATTTGTGGTGGTTTTTCCTATGTTTTTAAAAATTTTTCTGGTAACATAGCTCATCATGTATTCCAGTACTTTATATCACAGTTTTGGTTTGTTTAAGGGTTCCAGATGATGGTTAAGGATGTTTGCTACTCTGCTTCAATATAACAACAGTGTATGTAAAGTGCGAATCCAGTTAGTTCATTTTCACTGTTGTATGCGAGTATGTCAATTGTAGAATAAAGGATGATGGGAAAAACTGCGTTTGTTTACTTTTTGAAAATACAAAATAATAGATTTGAATGTATGTTTTAACAGAATTTTATTAGAATTTAACTTTTTAATGTATAATAACAGGATCAAAGTCCAAAAAAGTGTTATTTAAGCAGCAGAATCCATAATATTGATTACTGAATGCGATTCATTTTAACTATAGATGCGATGAATTATCACTGTAAATGCAATCATTTCATTTTTTTTTTGGAAGTGCGATGAATTTACATTGTAGTTTTGTATGATTTTTCGACATATAACAACTGAAAACAGTTTTTAAATGATTTTAATATTGATGATATTTACAATTTGAAATGCAAGCTAGTCGTATATGCTTACTTGAATATATACGGGTATAACTACGTTCATTTCATGAATATTCAAATATTGTTGGTGAGTTTGCTATTAGCTTGTCATAGATTTGAAAATTTACTGGAGCAGAACATCCATGAATATAACGTTTTTCTACGACGAGTTTTCTTTGAAAAGTTTTATAACTCGCTTAAAAAAGCTTTGAACATTTGTCACGCCGTGTCATACATATTTCTACCGTATTGATAGGCTTTTGCACAACGAAAAGTACAAGAATGTACAAAGAACGGTACTAAAGAAAGAAAACAAACTACATAGAGAAAGATTCGTGTCAAAGTTCTGAGGACAGTTTTTTCAAGTAATTATACCCGTGGTATAGAACCATTTAAACATGTAACAATATACTGTTTTCAATATTTCTTTGTATGCTCAAATTGCGTATTGGCTTATTAATAATACCGACTTACAAGAAATTCAAGCATATATAAGGCGACTCGACTGTTGCTAGAACTTTCTTTACTGTATAAGATTTATACACAATGGCATGATAAATATCAATTATCCAGTCATCCAAGCGTCAATTGTTTGTGCAAGATGAAAACGTTGCCACTCATTCGATCCTGAAATGAAGATCGTTTTGTGAATGCTTTTCGTACTTTATTTGGCCTTTTTAATTTTTTTTGATTCGAGCGTCACTGATGAGTCTTTTGTAGACGAAACGCGCGTCTGGCGTAAATATAAAATTTCAATCCTGGTATCTATGATGAGTTTATTTACAACCACTGGGTCGATGCCACTGCTGGTGGAGATTTATTTCCCCGAGGGTATCACCAGCCCAGTAGTCAGCACTTCTGTGTTGACTTGAGTTATCATTGATATGTTCATAATTATAAATTAACTGTTTACAAAACTTTGAATTTTTGAAACACTAAGGCTTTTCTACCTCAGGAATAGATTACCTTAGCTGTATTTGGCAAAACTTTTAGGAATTTTTGGTCCTCAATGCTCTTCAACTTCGTACTTTATTTGGCCTTTTAAATATTTTTTGATTCGAGCGTCACTAATGAGTCTTTTGTAGACGAAACGCACGTCTGGCGTAAATTTAAAATTTCAATCCTGGTATCTATGATGAGTTTATTTACAACCACTGGGTCGATGCCACTGCTGGTGGAGATTTATTTCCCCGAGGGTATCACCAGCCCAGTAGTCAGCACTTCTGTGTTGACTTGAGTTATCATTGATATGTTCATAATTATAAATTAACTGTTAACAAAATTTTGAATTTTTGAAATTCTAAGGCTTTTCTACCTCAGGAATAGATTACCTTAGCTGTATTTGGCAAAACTTTTAGGAAATTTTGGTCCTCATTACTCTTCAACTTCGTACTTTATTTGGCCTTTTTAATATTTTTTGATTCGAGCGTCACTGATGAGTCTTTTGTAGACGAAACGCGCGTCTGGCGTAAATATAAAATTTCAATCCTGGTATCTATGATGAGTTTATTTGTTATCTCAAATGCATCCATTAGAGCTACTTTCATAACGCTTGTAGTTTAAAGGTTTGGTTGGCTTGCTTGCTTTGTTTGTTTGTATAAACGTTTGCTCAATCTTAATTACAATGCTTAGGCAACATTTACACAATCAAGGCCAACCACACCTTTTAACTACACGCATTAGGAAATTAGCTCTAATGACGTTTAATTTATTAGTATGCGATGTAGATTTAGACCGAAACAGAAACTTTGCTTTTCCGGTAACGTGGATTGGCTCAACTGTCCAAGATATATGTATTTAATGATGACGTGTCATAGGAAAAAATAAATTTTATCCTACATATAAATCAGGACAAATTATTTGAGAAAATAGAATTGACTATATTAGCAATAAATACCATGTTTAAGGAATTTATTGATATATTACCTCAGACTTTCACTCACTAAGTATGCATAAATAATCAATCCTTCTGACTTCATAAATTTTGTTAGAGAGTTGGCTGAATTAAGACTTTATATAATGAAAATTAATTAATTTCCTTCTGTGAAAATGCATCGCATATACAATAGAAATGAATCGCCCTACAGTGAAAATGAAATTCTAGTATCATTTTTCGACAATAAACATGAATCGCATAACGAAAACAGCATAATGAAAGTTGATTCAATATCAACAAGCTGAATAATAAAACCTGTTTTAAGTTAAACAACATCAATAATTATGTTAAAAGGTACATTTTTCTGCAAATGAAACTTAACTGCTACTTTTAAATCTCTTGCACGCTCTGTTCGTGAACTATTCTTAATATTTATCTATTTGTGTATCAATTTTGCACCTGGATGGCTGTAAGCGCGATGAAAAAACAGTACACATTATATATTATTTCTTATTTTATTCAAAAATCTTGAATTTGTCGTCTGTTTATTTATCATTCTACATCAGAAATTCATCACGGATACAGACATTTTAGGATTCGCACATTACATACACTGAACAAGCTCTTTCAAAGACTATTATAAATTGAAAGTATATGAAAAAAATAACTAAAAAAGCTGAAAAAGTTGAAGTGTCCGTGTGCTTGTTTTCGAGATATAAGCAATTGAAAATTTGGCGGGAAGTGATTCTCTCTAGATTTTTCATTTATTTAACATTGGCACCTATTTTCTTTCAAAAAGTATGAAAAAATAACAAGGATTATATAAGATTTTGAAATATGATTTTTAAAACTATATGTAATGAAATTATAAAAAGAAAAGGAGGGGTTATCGGGCAAAAATTTTTAATGGCAATACATGGATAAAACCAGAGGATTCCAAAAATCTGGCAAAATTCAAAAACAAGACGAGAAAACATCCTTAAGAGAGAAAAGTGCTTCGGACGCGCCAAATGTGTACAAAGTTATGTACTTATTCAATAAAGGATGAAAAAAGAAACACTTCATAAATTTGGTGCGATCGGAATTTTTACCTTTATCGTGAATCCCCAAAACCAAAAATTTGAAATATGGGGGTCTATAAATATCTTAGGATTATACGATCAAAAGAGTCCGTGAAAGAAAAAGGCCAACCACTTAAGTTCAACTTTTCCGTGTTATTTTTGAAGGCCGTACTATGACCTGTTCTCACCCTTCTCCTGCCATATCGCCTTATTTTCAGATACACCGATAACATTTGTTTTACCCCAAAGATTTTCATGGATATAGAAATATGAGCACACGTTCAAATTCCTTCTGGCAGTAAAACGTATGCTAAGATTTGAATCCCTTTTGCTGTATATTATGTATAGACGCGCAGCTACATCCAGTTGGGAAAGAGATGTAAATTCAAAAACCTGTTGTAATGATAGTATTCTGCTTTCTACGCGTTAAGGAACCAAACAGGCCTTCGGAACCCAACATTTTCTTTTCTCATCAGTCTAATTTCCCATCCTTTCATCCTGGCCAACTAATTTGGCAGAGTTTACCAATGATATTGACTGTTCCGTGTTTCTTGTTTTCAATCTGCATGAAATATTTACCACTGGATGTATAAAAGGAAACCTATCAATGCAATGTACTAGTTCAACGGTAGCAATTAGCATAAAGACGTTTTGAACTTCCTTGACTCTTAATTCAAAGTCAAAGCCGACCACATTTTGCTCTCTAAAATGTAACATTTTCCCCACACCACCGATCGCCAGGTCGAATTGAATAATCTTATCAATAAACGCAATATAAATGAAATTACGCATTAAAACTTGTTTTAATAATGAACAACCCTCAACAGAGCCAATCCTGCTAAAATGAAATTTATCTATTTATTAATACAAATAATATACCTGCAGTACTATTTCCGCTGTATCCACTGACACTTAAAATGTAGTTTGAAGCCGCATCGCCAACGCTAAACAAATCATACTCTGCATACTTTTTATTCCCATCAAAGTCCTCAAGTTCAATGTAAAGCTTGTAATTACCGCTAGATGATATCGCATTGATGTATTTGTTTCCTAAAGGGAAAATAAGCATACAGTTTTTATGAGAATTACAGTACAACTACATGTACCTGCATAATATATAATAATCATACCACTTTAAAATTTTTCCATATTATATTCCATATGAAGTAATAGTCTACGGTATAAACATGTATATATATATTTTTTTCTCATAAGTGTTCAATCCCCTAAACATGTCTATACATGTATGACGTCATTGTCGCCCAAACATGAATATGAATATTTGGTGTAAGAAGCCGAATTGTGTCATTTTCAAGAACGCAAAATCAGGTTCAAATGTAAGAAAAATTCCAAATGTGTCCGCCATAATGAAAAAGTGATTCGTTATCAAACATTTTGTTTGTAAACATATCCAGTCAAGATTATAACAGGACCTTAGACCTGGTCATTAAGTGGTTAATTCGAACATTTTCGATTACGTTATTAAATGTTTTTCATTGACTGTACTTTATCAATAAGATAGTGTTGTATTGTTATAAAGAGGGGATACAGGAGCTCTTCAATTTAAAATAAAAAAGGGACATGGTGTTAAACAAAACTAACTGGTATTATTCCGTTGCGAAACTGCTAGTTAGAACACTGTGTCAGGACTGTTTTTTTTTTTCATGAATCCAAATTTATCCAACTCAATTACACAATATTTGTTATCCACAACACGGCTCTCAACAACCACAAATATGTTGACATTTTAATTATTATTGTCTTTGTTGCTGATTTAAATAAAACTTGAATAATAAAACTCAAAATTGAGAAATTTTAATAAAATATCTTTTGGTTGTTGTTCCTCATTGCCATACTTTCTCAATTCCCCTTCATCTATACGTTTAATGACAGCCAATTATTTTCTATTTGTCATTTAATTTATATTAATGTAAAATTCAAAATAAAGTTTCATATTTAAAAAGTTAAATTTACAGCTATGTAATTTTACCAAGTCCCCATTTTGGATTTTTTGCTTTAAATCCTGTTTTGAATCTTCGTGAATTGTGCAAAAATACCTCTGCATTGCTGTCCTTTGCTATTGTTTTATAAAGACTCCTAAAGGAACCCGACGTCTTCAATAGTGTCCTGATGGTTAAATTTCGTATAGACGATACTGACGTCACAGAGAACATACCAGCGTTAAATGTTTTGAGACGTTTTTTTCATCTTAAAGCGGACACGTTTCGGTGAACAGACAGTGTCTATTGGGAGAGGACACGTTTAGGGAAAATGAAGTTTGACAACTTTGGGTGAATGTGGTTTTGAGGACAGTTTGAGCTAAATGGACACGTTTCGGCGAGACAGACAGGTTTTTGGGATAGACATGTTTGAGAAAAGAGAGGCGATATATACCAAGGGGATAATCAAATTCTTAAGTCGAAAACGAAGACATAATCGTTTAATCAATTTAATTGAGTTCTGGAGCTGGCATGTCAGTAACTGCTAGTAGTCTGTTGTTATTTATGTATTATTGTCGTTTTGTTTATTTTTTTTTTGATTCCTATTCTGACATCGGACTCGGACTTCTCTTATACTGAGTTTTACTGTACGTACTGTTGTGCGTTTATTTTTTCTACATTGGCTAGAGGTATAGGGGGAGGGTTGAGATCTAAAAAAAAACATGTTTAACCCCGCCGCATTTTTGCGCCTGTCCCAAGTCAGGAGCCTCTGGCCTTTGTTAGTGTTGTATCATTTTTAATTTTAGTTTCCTGTGTATAATTTGGAGTTTAGTATGACGTCCATTATCACTGAACTAGTATACATATTTGTTTAGGGGCCAGCTAAAGGACGCCTTCGGGTGCGGGAGTTTCTCGCTACATTGAAGACCCATTGGTGGCCTTCGGCTGTTGTCTGCTCTATGATCGGGTTGTTGTCTCTTTGAAAATGTCGAGGCCAAAAAATAGGAAAACACAAACAAAATACAATACAGAAAGCGTTGAATGAACAACTTGAAGAATAAATTTGTCTTGTTTTATATATCCCCATATTTATGAATAATTAAGGTGGTACCAAACACCTTGACAAAAAATAATTTGGCCCGTTTAATTTTCATAAAATTTTGACAAAATATTAACTTTGACCCTTTGACAAAAATACCAAAAAAAAATGAAAAACTTGAACTACACACATTATCGGAAAAATTCTATTGGATATATAGCACTTTGACAACCAATTATTTTGCTCATTGAGAAGCTTAATATTTCCTTAACAATAGAACATGATTAAAACGTTCAGCTGATTTTTACAGAGTTATCTCCCGGTAGTGTTATGTACCACCTTAATGAAAATATTGTCTAAATATTATCAGATCATGTGTGACAAGTTTATTATCATATAGGATTCCATCTGCAATTTACTTTTACAAACAACACTCTGTATACAGTTTTTAATTAATTTAATTTGACCAATAAGAAATTTCTGTCTTTCAATTTGCAGTTTTAGAATCTTTATGTAAATGATCATTTCATTGTTCTTACACCAACACCAAATGAAAATAATGTCACGTAATTTGTTGAATATTCATCGATTACGTCGTTTTTATCACAACGTTTTTGGGTACGATTTTGAATGTTTTACCAAATTTATTTTAAATTCTAAAATAGCGAATTGTGTTTCCTCAGAGTACATACCTAACCAAAATTCCCGCTGTAGGTTTCCAAATCCCTTTTCATAGGTAGACCATCCCCTATAGAAATTCGTAGAGTTATCCAATCTCCTCTGAAACACCTGTTGTAAATGGAATATTTTACTAGTTTTTGTTTCTTTTTCAAAAACTTGAATAGGTGAGGTATCTTTAATAATATTGATTATTGAAGCAAATTAGAAGAAAAAACTAGATACATCATCATTACCAGACAAGATGGGTTTAATGATAAACAATAATCCTACCTCATCCTATATACCTATGCAAATGTTTCGCTTTAAACTTTCAAATAGTTTTTGATAATATTCCTTTACATATCTCATCTTTATATTCACACGTACATTTTAAACTGAAAGTATCTGCTCAAAACGTACAGCGATAATTGAACAGGGCAAGGATATATTACATTCTGTCGTGAAAGCATGCACTATTTTCATTTCCAACTTTCACATTCGCATTTTGTTAGGGTTAAAGAATTCGCATGTAATGATAGTGTATGAATGATGTCTCAATGTTTGTTACAAATATTTACGAATGTGCTATGGTTTGAAACTTGAATACTGACTGCAACCTGTCGGATTTTAACCCATGCAAAATAGGGGATCTCACTTATGGAAGGGGACAGTTGAGTACCTGAGTCCCTTCCGGTTTTAATAATGTTCTTATTTGTTTAGTCTTTAGTGTTCTGTGTTGTGGTTTCTGGACTGTTGTCTGTATGTCTTTTTGCATCTGCACTTCACATCTTATCTTATCTTTATCATGTATATGGAAACAATGTAAATGTGTGGACCTTACATGTGTCAAACATGTTGAAGGACTTCATTTAACATTACGAGTTACTGCAGAAGTCGTCGTACATAAAATGTATCTACAAAAAGTTAACATAGACATTTCCAAGAATTTTATTTACCATAAATATTAGGCTGATAATTTCATGCAACTGTAGTTTAATTCAATAACTAAGGAAAACCCCTACACAGTAGACAAAATCACAGGAAACAATGTTTCACACCAAAAACTATCAGCAACTATAACACATGGAAGTGATTGGGTTATTTAGTGAATATCAAGAATAAAAATATGCAAGATTTGTAGACTGAAAAGTATATATTAAAAGTAAAGTTCTTATCATGACAATGTGCATATAAATGGATACAACAGATATGTGTCTCGTCTGCAGATCACCTGAAACTGCAAGACTGAATGACCTCATTATTGCTTAGAGATTTTGGATGAAACTTGGACCTGTTTTCCAACTATTGATATCGCTATGCTGACACTTACCGTCCATCCACCACCTGCTGTCTAACTATTGATATGGCTATTCTGACACTTACCGTCCATCACCCCACCTGCTGTCTAACTATTGATACCGCTATGCTGACACTTTCCATCCATCCACCACCTGCTGTTTAACTATTGATATCGCTATGCTGACACTTACCGTCCATCCGCCACCTGCTGTTTCCATATCACAGAACACACTAAACTCACAACCGGTAGGATTTATCTTATAGATCCCAGATATAGAGTCAGAATGTATGTCACTACAGTCATGTGGCACTAAAAATATAAATTCCCTGTCAATTTTCCATTTATTGTGTTACGGGCGTAATAGAAGGGTACTGTTGATTATTTCTACGTAATCGCGTTTAATGGGTTTTTGGTTGGGATCGTGTTTCTCAATTTTATATTGGAGTGTATTGTTTTGTGGTCTGTTGTAGGTTCGTATGACTTTAGCAATTACCATGGCTATGGTATTTTCCTTCGGCTTAAGGTTTTTAATAAACTGTTAACATTGAGATATGTCTCGCCTATTTGTTATTTTGATAATGCAAATGTTGAAATTAAAATAGCAATACTTTACATGTAAATTATGCAAATATTCAAAGTCAATGAACCATGACTGAAGGTTCAGGGCTAAACAATCTCCATGGAAATGAGATGTGCCAATGCTAATACAACTGCATACCAAATACCATTGACTTATCATAAGTCGTTCCATTTCAAAAAACCTAAACACAAACATTACTTGTAAACTATGTAAAAGTTTCAAAGTCAATGAACCATGATGAAGGGGTGGGGCTATATAATCCATGGAAATGAAACTTGCAAATGCCAAAACATTTGCATACCGAATACCATTGACTTAACATTAGTGGTTCATCTTAAACTGACCTAATCACAAACTAATACATGAAAACTAAGCAAAGTTTCAAAGTCAATAGACCTTGACTGAGGGGGCGGGGCCAAATAATCTCCATGGTAATGAGATGTGCCGATGCTAATACAACTGCATACCACATATCATTGACCTACCACTAGTTGTTACCCATAAACTGACCTAATCACAAACTAATACATGTAAACTAAGCAAAGATTCAAAGTCAATAGACCTTGATTGAGGGGGCGGGGGCCAAACAATCTCCATGATAATGAGATGTGCCAATGCTAATACAACTGCAGACCAAATATCACTGACCTACCATTAGTGGTTCACTATGAACTAGACCTAATAACAAACTAATACATTGTTGACGCCGCCGTCGTCGCCGTCGCCGACGCCGGAAACAGCATACCTATGTCTCGCTTTTTGACTCCGTGAAGGCGAGACAAAAATTGATTGTTATAGCCAATTACGACAATAGATATGACTTACGATATCATTGCGCAGCATCTTGCGCAGTAGGCGCGAAAATTTAAACCCGCGAGCCCCCTTTAGGTTTTTGATTGCTCTTTTGTTATCCTATCCCCTCTTTCAAATGTAAGAAATACATATTTGTTTGTGTACAACCACACCATCAAATAAAGTTTATATTAAAACAGACAAGAGATTGCTTGTGATCTAAAATCCGGAATATACACTATTTACCTGCAATATATATACTCATTGATTAATTGCTGTTGATCGTCAAGCGATCACAAGTATTAGTTATATCAGTCATCTCCTTATTTTCGTTTATATTTTAGTAACGAAAATATATTTTGTCTTCTTTTCGGAAGAAGTATCTTCAAATGATTATCAGATATAACTATGATAACAGATTGATAATTAGCTGATATAGTGTTGACCTTCTGTAGACACTGTTCAAAAGACCGTAAAGGGTTGACTCAGGTTAAACGGTGATCAATAGTATTTATATGACAGTCAATATTTAGTTCAGTTTATTATGATATCTGCAAGAAATCCTAAAATGCATATAGTCTGACAATACTTCATTCAAATCTAAAATTCCCATTTAAAGAAAACCTACAATCATAGTGTTAATACTGCCGCTCTCTATTTGTAGTTGTATGAAAATCATGTATATTATTCATTTGTATATTGTTAATTTAATCATTTTTTTCACCAATTCATTTGGTAGGAAATAAAATACAATCTTGTGAAAGCTTGATTTAAAAAAAAATAGGTGTGTGATTTTCATCTTGATAAGATTTACAGTATAATAAGGATTAATGTATGCCGTTCATCTATAATAAACGTCAGACCGATGCCTAGGGTTAAGGTCAAACAAACAAATTAAAGAAAAGTATCAAATTGTTTTTCTGACGGGTTAGTTCAAATAATACATGATGAGTATGTGTTTACTTAATTGAAAAATCGATTAAAGTCCCTTTTTTAATATCAATTTTTCCTTATATTAAATACAAAATTTGTATTGTAAGAAAATTAATTTGACTATTCATAAAAACCATTACATGATAAGGATCAACAATTAAAACTAAAGGTTTTAAAGTTAAAAGCTGATCTAGAAGGTCTTAAAGAAGGCAATTATGGTGAATGATTATCCAATAATTTTGTAAAAAAAAATTTGTCTTGGTATATAGGTATTGTTATATGAAACGTACGTGTTCTCCTTTCAGTAAAGACTTCTAGCAAAGGAACGCATATGTAAGTCGGTTTTTGTGGAATACACACTTCACTGACCTTGCAGTCATGACCTTTGCACGACCCAGCTAGCTCCTGAAAATCAATACAACAAAATTACTTTAATGTTTATATTTTCAATCTTGTATTTTTATAATTTCCCCCAAATTACTATTGTTTCAATGCTGGTGAACTTTATTCATAATTTGGCTCTGTAGTATTATAAATGCACTGATGTTTTAAAGATGCATGTTCTTGAAATTTGTTTTCGCTGAGATGGTTTTTTGAAGACAACATGCCTATATCTTTGACGATAAACAGTAAATTTTATCTGATCGAAAAATTAAAGGTATTTCTTTTACGAGATTATTATAGACAAATATATATGGCAATGTGACATGCATGGATATTAAAATTTAATAATGTCACCATTCTGTTAATATTATTGAAACACAGCTGATATTCCCATTTTCTTTTAAAACTTTTAAATCGACCTTTAAAAGAAATTATCAATAATAACATTGTGTTTACTTTATATTTGAAAAATCTCAGAAGGAATGAGCCTTAGATATTACTTGTTTTCTTCATAATATGACGATATTACTTTATAATTTAATTTTGGATGTAACACGTCTTCTGATTGGCTAAAAGTGATTTGTCTATCAACCCATAGACATAATTTTGTCATGTGACCTTGACGTCATCAACGTTTTTTTCATGATTTACTCTTTAAAAATGGAATTTAGAATTAAATTATAAGGATTGACTGTAATATTTTTTTCTGTCTATTCGAAATAACCTCAAAAATGTGGTGCACACTTTTAAATAAGTCGCTACGCTGGATTTACCTTTCAGCAGACACACTCAAATCTAACATTTAAAGCCAAAAATTATAAATAAAGGAACTCTTGAGGAACTATGTGCTATCTGTCCCTCGCCAACCTTTCATTTTAAATGTAAACTTAAATGTAATCTGTCTGTACAAAAACAATTTATTAAGCGGATGTAGTTTCACACACAATTGTCTCATATTATTCATTGTTAAATTTAGCACTTTCAAACACTTTTGTTTCGCATTATTCAAAATAAAGAACCACTCTGTTTTCCATGAATTCAAATCCACGTAATACCAACTAATATTTCATTGCATACGAGAAAATAAACTGATCGGTAGGAGATTGATTAAAATTTTCAGCATTCTGTTAGATTTTATATCCATTATTAGTCGGTTCACTTCATGTGTTATAAATCATTTTAGTAAACAAGTACAAAAAAAAAAGAATGATATATTTCTTTGAGTAAATATTTGTCGGTTCACTCCATGTGTTATAAATCATTTTAGTAAACAAATGCATGAAAAATGATGTATTTCTTTGATTCAATATTAGTGAGTTCAACTCATGTGTTATAAATCATTTTAGTAAACAAATGCATAGAAAAGAATGATGTATCTCTAGGCGTGCAATGTTATCATTTTACAAATAGAAATTAGTTTTGCAGTGAAATGTAGGATAAATTCTATAATTGGAGTTTATGTATTTCATTTGGTGGTATTAAAATCGACTTTTAGTTGTTAACTTCTAGTTATAGTTTATAACTTAGCGCTATAAAACCAGGTTCAATCCACCATTTTCTGCATAAGAAAATGTCTGTACCAAGTCAGGAATATGACAGTCGTTGTCCATTCGTTTGATGTGTTTGTGCTTTTGATTTTGCCATTTGATTAAGGACTTTCCGTTTTGAATTTTACTCGGAGTTCAGTATTTTTGTGATTTAACTTTTTTCTACGTCATTTGGTCTTTGATGGAGAGTTGTTTCATGAACAATTGTACCACATCTCCTCATTTTTATATTGTGATTTATGACTTAAACAGAAAAAAATTCTGACTGAAAGAACATAAAGTTATCAAGCTTATTCTCAGTTTAGTTATTCTTCTCAGACGTAAAGTTTTAAATCTTAACACAAACTTAGTATGAATTACATATTAAAAAATCAATGGGAAACATAGTAAAATTTGCCTCCTTTTTATTCCTTTTTGATTTGTTGATAGCAAAACAATTAGAAACACACAATTTTAGTGATGAGACATTTACAACTAAGTATTGCTTAATACAATGTATGTGAGGAAATTTTTGATTTGATACAATGAATGAGATTTTAATATTTAGACAGTTTTCATATTAGGCTATGATACTTGTCATGCTTGCCTTCTACAAATAACATGTGCTTAATAACGAGCAAACATCAAATAATTGTTCTTCCCAAGTGGCAAGCAATATTACACTGTTTCTACCAAAGAAACGTGTAAGTGTGCATTGCTTACAAGTACATGCACTTAAATGGCATGAAACAGCTGAAAAATGCAAAAATGTGAGTGCAAAAACGTTGTAGAGATTCATATGTTGAAATATGACTTCTTTATGTAAATATGTAAATTCAGTTTTTATTCACCATTTTCTATACATAGAAATGCCTGTACCAAGTCAGGAATATGACAGTTGTCTTCCATTCGTTTGGTATGTTTGATCAGGGACTTTCCGTTTTGAATTTTCATTGAAGATTGGTATTTTTATTGTTTTATTTTTTTCTTTTATATGTAAGGATTCTTGTGTAGACAAAACGCGCGTCTGGTATCATTTTAAAGTAAGTGGTTTGTAAGGAGCGGGGAATGAATCGAATGCCTTTGTACCTAAAATAGTATATGGTGTTACAGAACATGATTATTCAATGAGAGTACATATTCGATCACACTAAACTAAACTAATAATAACAGCGACTAATTTTAAACACAGACGATTTTTAACGTTGACAGTTGACTGCTATACATAGATAAAAACAAATATAATGCTGTATCCGTTTTAATCCGTATTTTCCTGAAGAATATAAGATTTCCTGTAGTACAACAAAAGCGTGGAGAATAATACAAAGTTAGTTTTGAGAAATATTCATATTTGATAAGAAACATACAAAATACTTTTATAACCATTGGATAGTAGACTTCTGAATAATTGAAAAGTGTTTCTGTTATTACAAATTAAGCGACCATTCGAAACATATCTGGAGTTGTGATGTGTATTACTAAAACTGACAATTATTAATACTGAGTGAATATTTTGACAGTATCATGTTTATCAAATATTTCATTGTATCTACCTTTGGAAGAGTCGAGGCCGCAACAAAGTTATTTCCAACACTCTCAAGGAGTCCATCCTTATTTCCCATGGGTTCACCATCATTTATCTGACAAGTTTTATTCCATGCTATAAAGTTGATAGATTTGCATACTTGCATTCTCGAGCAAAGTTGAGCACATAATGACCACATCGGCATCGATACCTCAAACAACACGTGGCAACTAAATATTTTGTCTTTTTGTTTTTCGATAACAACTATTTCACATAATGTCCACACTAAAAGTAAAACTATTGAAAAGGACAAACGAAACATTTTGTTCCAATTCAAAAACATTGAAAGTAATTATATTTCTCCCTTTCATGAAAAGCTTTGGGTGTGTTCAAGCTTTTAGTATGTTCAAGATTTGAGTCTGTTCAGGCGGACCGTTTCATTACTGTAACATACCACTTACAAAATCTGCTTGTTTATTAATGTGATGAGGCGTAATTGATTCTTTTACAAAGGATGACAACTTTTTCAAATGCTATTTCAAATTCATAGTAATTACAAAAACCACCTAAAGTTTGAACAAACTACTATTATGAAATTCAGGACCAAATGAAGCGACGATTTCAATTTGATATTTGATATTGCAATAACTCGTTACTATTATAATATTAATGTGATTAAATTAATAAAATAAAATTCTTAATTTCAATCAAATCTTTCTTTTTGTAATATTCATAGTTTGTCAACAAACAACCTGTTCAAACAAAACATCCTCATATTTATCTTAATCATCTGTTGGATAGTTGTACGTATATCAAGAAATTATCGTCACCTTGAATTGTATGATAAGATTAGAGTTTCTTATAAAAAATTTAAAGAAAATAAACATGTTGTTTCAA